GTGTTTTACTCGAGCATTACATAAAAATGTCATTTTAACATGAGTTTAGGAACTGAATAATAAAAAGGAAAAATAAAACACTGCTTAGTATTTACTCTTTGAATTCAATATGCACTGATTTTTTTAAGCTACAAAAGTTATTTAGGTAAGAGCAGTGAGTGATTTGCTTTGTCTTTTGTTCATGGCCCCAAATATTGCAAGCTGTAGCGATATGCATATTGCGATATGTACATTTGCGATATTTCGATAATTTCGATATATTGTACAGCCCTAGTTTTTTTGTATGTGGGCCCAAAGTGAATTATCAGGCCAAAAATGTTCTGTAACAAGGTACTCTGTATGAGAGCAAGTTTTAGTAGCAATAACTTCACTGATAGCTGATATTTAAAATTCCTCTTGAAGATCATTACAGATCATTCACAATGAGACCATGCAAAAGTTATTGCTATAAAAACTTAAATATTTTTAAGTATTATTATAAGTATTATAATATAAAAACCACACTTGCCATCTAATCTACAAGCCAAGGCAAATCATGTTGCCTTGTACATCAGTCCATTGCCGTTCAACAAAATTGCTGCTCTTCTGGTCTCGTTATTTTACAGGTCATTTGAAACCAAAAAAAGAATTTTACATGGAATACCACCAAGACTTTTACTTTCACTGTCAAGCATCTGGCTTTCTGAAAAACTGAATCCTCATAACAGCTATTTCGTGATACAGGAAAACTACACACTAAATTGGGATACTTAAAAAAAAAAAAGAAAAAAAAAAAGTTGTCACTAGTTGGTGAGTTGCTATAAACGAATTGGCTTAGAAATCTTACACAACTTTTTAGAGATGCTGCTGCTAAAAAAATATCAAAACTGAGCTTGTTGAACTAGATGAATGACAGCTGACTGGAACCATATGCATTGATGATTTAGAAGTCACAAAATACATCAAAAGCTCCCTTAACCAATTTAATACCCAGTGTTTTGCGGTCATGTAGAAACTTACATCATCCTCAGGAGTGGAATTCTGCAGTGTCATGGCAACCACAGGAGATGCTGTTACCGGTGCAACAACAGAGATGGATCTGTCCTGAGCCAGTGTTGGCAATGTGACTACATGCGTGGGCACCGCCTGAGGTGTCTGAAGCTTGACAACCCGAGTAGGCTGAGATAGCAGCATTCGCTGACCTGCAAGAGAAACATACACTGTTTATACACTTCACCATTCAAATGAAGCAAGAAATGTGTTGAGTGCAATTTGTTGCTATTTTTCTTCATTAATCTCCACACACTGAAAGTAAAGTTTTCACAGCACAAACTGGTTTAAGAACCATAAGGAGAGAAAAACTGTTTTAATCAAAAAAGGAAACAGTTGTGCCAAGCACTATCCTTCATCCAGAGCCAAACACGTCACCTCCAGGTAACACGGACAAACACAATTTGTCAGGCGTGACGGGTTGCTGTTGGTGTTGAGTTAAATGAGAGGAATTTGCGGTGGCTCCCCAGCAGGGGTCATTCCGAACGACTTCCATTCTCTCAGCCACCCACTGACTTCCCCATCAGTCTCCCAACAAACTACAATTAACCTCGCATCAAAACTCTGCGGTTAGCCAGAAAATAATTACTGTAGCAGAACGCAATCAGTTCAAAGTGCACTTCCACAATCTTTCGCACAGATGGATTCAATACGTATATAAGCAGCTTGTGGCAGCTCTCTCTTTTAGCAAAAGGCTCCTACTGAGAAAATGAGGAAAAAAAAAAAATACAAATAGTACACACAAATAGTGCTTTGTGTGATGTACCATTTATAAACCAAACTGCACGCAAGGCCTTATTCTAAGAAACAGGTCATACAGTTCTCAAAAATTGAATGAGAAGTGATTGTTTGGACGCACTGGAGTACCAAGTCTCTAGTGTTTTAAATAAGATGAGTACAGGATAAGATTTCAATTCAAGCGGCTCTTGCCTTCTGCTCCACTTGTGTTTCCAGGTGTGTGAGGTAAATGTTTATACTACGCATGAGGAAAATGATACTGAAGCTCACTGATTCCTGACAGCCATAGTTTAACACTCAAGACATTAAACAGAGTCACCCATTTCATCAGAGAACTCAGAAATCTTTTTCCTACTGTGCTCAATCACAATAAATCAACACGTAATTAAACATACATACATATATATATATATATATATATATATATATAATGCGAATTCATTTGGCGACTGTTAATTACTCTATTTGTACATTTACATTAACACATTCATTCTTAGAGTAATCAGTGTTGATTTTCACACACATTTTGTTTATTATGTTGAGTACATACATATGTAAACAAACTTTTATTTTGGACTATTAATCACAATAAATCGATTTGACAGCACTAATATAAAATAATAATAATAACAATTTTAGAACATTATCTTATATCATATCAAAATAATATCAAAATAATAATTATTATTTTATTTATTATTATTACTGTTATTGTTGTTATTATGAATTTTAATAATGTAATAATAAATCTTATGCAGTTTGTTATTATGGTACTATGGTTATCATGTCTTTGCACATGACATTAAAGACAGTATTTCTGTCACAAAATAAAGCAATTCCCAAAGTTTACAAAGTTCATGGCACTGAATATTTATAAGATGAAGCATTTTGTTTGAGGCAAATAATCAGCTAATATGCTAGCAAATAGCTAGTTCACTTGCTACAACTACCCGTCACATAAAAAATGTCACAAAAACAAGCATCAAGAAAACAAAAGGATGAAAAAAAAAAAAATCAGTCAGGTAGGTCATTCACATCTACTTCGATACTGCTTTTTTCTAGGGCAAGCGACAAGGCAGACTGTACTGACACAAAAGGATGCACCAGCAGTTCAAGAACATTTCTCTGTCTGCCTGACGATAGACTTTAAAATGAGTCGCCCACTAATAGCACAAACAAAAATTGATGCCTAGTGCCATCTGCTGGTTTTTTGTAAGCATGCAGCGAGGGCTGCAATACAACCTAAAATACACTACTCATTTCAACTTGCAACAAAAACGTGATCAACAAAAAGAATAAAAGTGATCAAACATACCAAGACTTCCTATTACATATCAGACTTTATCAGATTAAAGTGTGGCAGAATGGGTTTCTTCATTACCTGTAGGGGGTGCTGGTTGAATGGTGACTGGTGGAGGTTTTACTACAGGCAGAACTGTAGTCTGAAGAGGCTGGATGATGATGGTCTTAGTCTGAAGGGGGGCTGCAGCATGGGAGATAGGCACCGCAGTAATGAGCGGTTTAGGCTGAATGGAAACCTTGGGGCTATACTGAATGGGCCTCTTCGCTGGCTGGAGAGGCTTTGCTGTGTGAACAAATTGTATCATCTTACTACAAATTGAAGACGAATGATTCAAATAAAGACATTAATGTACTTCACCTACCTTTTGACTGACTGGTCCTCTTGGAAGGCTTCATCTCAGCAGGCGCCTCAGCAAAGCCACTTGAGTCAGAGCAGACAGACAGCGGAGAGGGCTGAGAATGCCAGGAGGCTGGAGACGGTGCCTCATCCTTAAAAAAAATGTTGCGAATATAGCAGCATAATGTAGGAATATCATGAAAAGCCATCAGTGCCCTTACATAGAAGAAAAAAAAAAAAGAGAACTGAAAGTGCACTCAAGCATGGGAATACTGGGGTGTGAATCCAGATGGTCAAGAAGTCCACGTATCATTACTTAACTGTTTGCAGACTTTGCACATATCAAACGACTGATCAATAAATGCATAAATACCTACAGAACACCTGTGATACCACCCACCTTATGTTTGAATGTGTATTCAAACATTGCCTTGCTAGTTATAACCGGTCATGTGTGTCATGTTTCTTCAAACATGTTAAAAATAGTTAAACTTATAATAATGTGCTTCCTATACGTCCCTTTCTGTATGTGTATATGTCCCTTTGCAGGATGTTGCATCATTCAGTAACAGAACAACACGTGTTAACATTCAGTGTATGCAAACTATAACAAATATATGTCATGTTAAATTATACATTAACTTCATCAAGACTGTGAGGTGACACTAAGATTCTAGTGTTTAGGATTTCGCTAAAACAATGTGTATTTGTCATAGTGACATTATAGTTCTATGAAACCTTGAAAGGGACACTAGCTGATTTTGAAGAGTCAATGCACATATTACAAAATAAGACTGGACACTTCTCAATGTGAGACTGATTAATTAGTTTGATGATGTGCCGAGAGCCGATTAAGACATTCATTAACACACTGGAGTCTTAATTAGACACCTAATTCACATGGGTGTATGTGCGTGTCTGCCCTCTTGATCTCTGAACTACAGCAGCTGGCAGGATCAGTGAAGCTCAAACACACTCCATCTGCGCCTCTGACTGATTAAGTCAATAAAGACAAAAAAAGAATTTGTGTGTGTATATAACAAAAAATAAATTAATTAATTAAAATAGATTTTATTTATAGTTGTATAAAAATTATATTTGATGTATCTTATAATATACATTATATTATAAGATACGCCAAATATAATTTGTATACAATTTTGTCTCATTAACTATTACATATATCTTTGCATATTGATACATGTAAAAAAAAATTGTGCGCAGGTTAGTTTGTCTGTGATTGTAAACAGCGTGGAATCCAAAAACACTGGACATTTTTCAAATCACTCCCTGACAAATAAGATGCACATTTCAGTGGGTAGAAATGCTCAAGGACTGCGTATTTGTTTTGGGGTGGAGTTTGACTCACTCACATGTGTGGAGCATGGTGAGTGGGGCTCCACTGACGCTGGTGAGGACACTGAACTGAGCGTGTGGTTTGGTGACAGTGAGTCCACGGTTACATCACCATCTGTGAGAGCAGATAAAGAGAAAAAGGATAGAAATGCTTTCGTACATTTCGCTTTGGTAATACTTGAAATAGTTCTCAGAAATATCAAGTTACTTTAAATTTATTGCTGCTATAGACATTTAGGAACATTTGAAAAGATTCTCCAGTCCACTGAAAACTTAAAATTAGTACCTGATCGAGGGCTACCGTTTTCTCTCCAGCCATCCGAGTTCCACGCTGGGGGCTCAAAGTCAAAGTTCAGGTCAGGAACAGAGGTGTCCTAATAGAGAACAGATCCAAAATGCTTAAATTGCTTACATTTTTCTACAAATCTCTGGTTAAAGCTACGGTCAAACCCAAAAAAAAAGCAATAAAAAAAAAACTTGTTAGTCTTTAAAAGATGCAATCTGATTTTCAAAATGCAATTCGAAAAAAGACAAATAAACCCATATTTGATAAACATGTAATATTTTGACAGATTGTCTTTGCAGGGGTTTGACTCACATAGCCTACACTTTCCACCAGAGCCTCCAGAAGCTCATCAGCATCCCCAAGATCTTCCAGCTCATCAAACAAACTGATATCTACACAAGTAAAAGACATGGTTGTGAATTTAAGTATTACCAAAGGCAGATTGATGCCAAACAAAGAAGTAAAGCCAACAAACCAAGTGCTGAAAGCATGAGAGCAAGACAGGAAATAAAAAAATTTATCAATCTTCTTTTGAGTTGTGGGTTTGTAACCAGGTCATACTACCTGCAACAATTCACCCTGAGGTGTTATGTAATTTAGTTTCAATTCCAGTTTATTTTATATGTTAACCAAACCCTAATTGACACACTGTAATTTACTAGTATCCTGTGTATTCACAATACGATATGAACTATACGAATGAATATGAATATAAATATATGAACATGAACACAAAGTATAATCCCAAATAAATGTGTAATGATACAAAGTTAAATAAACGAAGTTGTATTCTATCATGTTTATATTTTTGATTCAACTACATTTTAAAATTGAAGCCATAAAAACAACACTGCGGAAGAGTGGGAGACAGGTTCACCAGTTAGTCAATCTAAGTTACAGCAAATGGACAATGACTATATACATATAAATCGCTTCATAAAGACACTCTTTACGTACAGACACTTTACTAGAAGTAAATACAGAAGTTGGCGTTTATCGCGAGCAACACGCGCAGTGATGGATATTTCTAGAAAGCGTATCTTACCCCACTCTCCATCCTGATCGATGGAAATGTCCCCCGCTTCCTTATTCATTATCGATGGATTTACGAAATCTAACATCAAATCTGACGACATTATGCCACGAACACATTAGTAAGTATTAAAAGTGAGTCGGACTAGTTATCAATGAGTTCTGCGTGAAGTTGTAAACACTCGCATTTCCCGATTCTGATGAAACTACATAACAACAATGCTGCAAGTACAGGTCCAGTTTTACGGTAACTCTACGGGTGCCGGAGTGGGTCATACACAAGCCTTCTTGTAACCGGCTTGTTTTTCATCTCTACACCACATGGTGGTAGTAGACAGTCGGTCTTCCAGCAATTTCGCACTCTCATTAGTCTCATTTTGGCGAAACGGTTCATTTGAACAGTTAATTTAAAGAGCCGGCTCAAAAGCTGTTCCAGCGGTTCTTTACGCCATCACGTGGACCATTCCTGTCGTGTTTACATTTTCTGAAACGTCTCAGTAAAGACCCCCACAACCCCGTTACGGCGCCCCTGTTTATTAATAACTGTATATCGTAATTTCATGTGTTCCAGTTCCGTTTGTTGCAGTTAAGCTTCAACCAATTTAGAACCTAAAGATAGGCCTAATTTGCATTCAGGTTAAACAATAATCTCTATTTCACATTGTAACAAAATCTCGTAAACCAACTTACGCGTGCTGACAACCTGATATAAACACATTTCCAGTGCGTTTTATTTGTAACTTCAGCTCAAATAACTCGGTTGACTCCAAATGTAGCTCTTATCGGTTCTCGGACCAATTCTGCCCAACTCGTGATTCAATTGTTCATCGTTAACAAAAGAACGATTCATTATTTGCATTTGACAGGTAAGTTATGATGAAATAACATTGCTTTTAAGATTTATATAAAAGTGTTCGGGATTTATTTATTTTCATATCAGCCCAAGCTTTAGGCTACACTGCTGGTTTCAATTAAATGACTCGTTTGAATAGCAAAATGAGCGTGGGCATTTAATCACCGTAGCCTATTAGAGATAGTGTGTGGGCTATTTGCAAATATAGACGTAGTCAGTGCATAAAAGATGACACTTTGGCATGTGTTACTAAGCCAAACCGGGACACAGGATATCCTATTTAAAGCATCTATGTTGGAAAAATTATAGCCTACAAGATATGTAGCTTATTATGTATTCACACCTTAAGAATAATTATTTAGCCTATTTGAATGACAATAGAACATAATAAAACAATTAACAAGCACAGAAGCTACTAATTATGTCAAACTGACAATAGGAACTGAACAAAACATGAAATAAAAATATCTAGGAATATTAAAACTGTTTTGTAAAACCAACCATCTGAACGGGTAGAACAGGTTGCTTATTCATAGGCTCTTCATATTCCTTGTTAAGTTTCTAAATGTCAGAGCATCAGGTCACACTGGCTGGTTTGAAGATCTGGGACAGGTGTTCATAGCTATAATCCTGGTCTTCCCAGGACATTGTCAGCTTAACCTGAGGTGGTCTACAACAATCTCAGCTGGATCTGACCCTCTTACACACTTTACCCATGGCCTGTTCTCGTGTTTTCAAAAACCTAAACCTAAATTTTTTATTTGAAATGTACCCATTGCTTACTAAAAATGAAACAAAACCTTCATAGACTGAGCGTGTGTGGTTCAACAAGTCAGATTAAAATAATATTATCTTTTTGCTTGTACTCATCACTCATTGTTTTTTATGGCAAAAACAGCCATGTTAAGCACTATAAAAGTCATTCATTCTGAGTGTTTTATGGTAAAAGCATCCAATGACACAAACTAATTTGAGTAAGAGGGTTTTGAGGCATTTTTCTCTGTTTCAGCCAATCATGAAACAGTATGGTCTATTCAGGTTAATTGTGTATAAACCCACCAGCCCCCTCCCACAAACAGTCTGAGGATTAACAGGTTACTGTAACACACACGTCAAGAACATCCATTTGGAATGGATTAGAGCTTTGACCACCATGTCTTTATGTTGCCACAGGAACTTGTTGGTTCAAAATCGTGCTTACTGCACCAAACTTAAAGGGGTCATATGATGCGATTTCAATTTTTCCTTTCTCTTTGGAGTGTTACAAGCTCTTGGTGCATAAAGAAGATCTGTAAAGTTTCAAAGACTAAAGTCTCAAATCCAAAGAGATATTCTTTATAAAAGTTCAGAGTCAGCCACGCCTACCTAAAACGCCTCGTTCTAACACGCCCCACATATCTACGTCACGATGTGGAAAGATTTGCATAACGCCGCCCAAATGTTCAAGCAAAGAAAGAAGGCGTAACTTTTATCCTCGCTGTAGTATTGTTGTTGCCGCCGCCATGTCGTGAAGAGCTGTGTGTTTCGTTGTGAAAGCCAAACTACTTT